ATTTGCTTTGCCAATCATTCATTACCCAGTCAGAAACCAGTTTTCTGAGGACATTTGAGTGGTATGACAAGCAGAAAAAGCCGGAGACGTGTGCACTCTAACGGCCCGTCCACACTACAGCTTCAAAAAAAGCTTGCCGGCGGGCGTGTCTGAAGCTCGACCAACAACCAATCACATGAATCTCCCGCCCCTGACACACAAGCAGCGGGTTGATTGGCTAGAGCTTGTACTGGCATATGATTTGATTGGCTGACGCTTCCACCGAAAGCTTCAGAAGCTTCAAAAGTTGAACATTGCTCAACTTTTGCAGCCTGAAACGCCAGGAAAGCTCCGCTCTGCTACCCACAATTCAGTTCGGCGAAAAGCGAGGCAACGTGACGTCACCCCATTCAAAGTGAATGGGCAGACGCGTTGGAAACCGTTTTTGAAGCTGTCGAAGCATGTAGTGTGGACGGGCCGTAACATCTCCCCGGCTTCGAGAGGGTCCGACAGTAGCTGTGTCTAACCTGCTGTGCGTTCCTCTTGTCAGTCGTCGCCCTCCGTAGGTTCTCTGCTCCTTCCTTGATTTTCAGCTCTTTACGGATCTCTCTGCGGATCCTTTCGCGCTGCTCGTCCAGGAGCTGCTGCACACTGGAATCAGAGAAGTCCGAGTTCTGGTCCAGACCGAGCTGCTCCAGAACAGACAGCCCATCTGGGTCACTCTGGACAGAGAGGGGAGGAAAATGATAAAGAAGTTAGACTATGTGGTTATATGAACAAAACAATATATTGTGGTAACATAGTCAGCCTGGTAAGAGGAGGTGTTGAGAGTCGTAGACAGAGATGGCGAGCAGGATAAGGAGTAATGGGAGGAAAGTGATAGAGAAAGCGAGATGATAGTGGTGGGGGTTGGGGGAAAAGGGCAAAGTTGCGGAAAATGAAAATGCTAGTAAAAAGGAAGCAGGAGGGGCAGTGAAGGATTTCCAAAGTCCTGTTCAACCAGTGTTATAACAATAGAAACACAAATGTCTAATGGCACACCTACTTACAAGAAGAGCTTAAGGATAAACAACCCTATTAGAAATCCCATTTTCAAGATACTCTGCCTGAAAAAATGGGCTAAAACTCAATCAATCAAATTACAAATCTGTACAATGACCTGTGGCGTCGGTTGTCCTTTTTATCCTGAACCGGTTCTACTCTAATGCGAGATCAATATCAAGAACATCTTAACCTGGAACATACTAACCTAAATTAAAAACACAATCTACCAAATATAATTGGGCTCCACTCCTACTTAAGTTTCTACTCACTTCCTGCTTCTTTTCAAAAATGACTCTTAGCAGAGTTCTGGAGACTCAAGTAGCCCGACACACAATCAGGAACTCAGCAGGAGCGACAGTGTTAATCACTAGAGATCACAGCCACTCGGGCCAATATTACAGGAACACACAAATCAAACAAACAAGCCAACAACACTTAACCTCCGAGCTGTCCTCATCCTCCTCGTCACCATGCCAACACATAGTCCACTCAGATGTTATGACCAGAAAACGTTGGTACGCTCCTGAGCTCGGACCAACAGCTAACGCCACACCGAGAGCGAATAGGAGAATAAACGATAAAAAGAGATAAAGAGAGGGAGAGTTAAGTGAGGGAGGGGGAACGCCCCCGAAAGAGGATATCCGTCCCAACACCAAGCTGCTCAGGCCTTTCCTGTTTCCTCTGCAATTTTGCTGCTGTCAGAGGAGAGTGAGAACCAGAGAAAAGGGGGACAGAAACTCTATACATCAAGGACACATCCTCCACTCCCAGAGTTTTTGGAAAGCATTCCTCGATCTGTAGCAGTAAGCTTGTACAATGTTTCTCAAATGCTTATACGTATCAATTACTCAAATCGGGCTCCAAGTGAATTTGTGACAGCTTTTTATTAATGTTGTGCTCTCATTGGGTCGTGATGTGATATGATCTTGAGGACGGAAACATGGGAAGTATGCGTTTTCTAAGTTTTGGATCAAAGCCAGAGAGTAAAGATTAGGAGGCTCTTCTTGACCTCTTGTTCCCTTAGGGCTCCACATCTACAAACCGAGAAATCCCCCTAAAGACAGCCTACAACAACATTATCCAAATCAGAAAATTAGCACAGTTTAAGACCCCTCAACGCTGAACAATACGAGTGATCTCA